TCAAGCACAAAGTTCATTTCAAGGAATTAAAAAATGGAACTGCATTTTTTTGCATTTTTAAGACTTTATTAGGTACTTTTTTTTACATTTTTTTACATTTTTATATTTATAAGTCATTTTATATACGAATGGATATACAATTTTATAAAAATTTAAATAAAATGTACCTATTCTATAAAATTAAATATTATTTATTTTGACTTGTACTTTCATTTTTATTATTTGTTATGTTAAAAATATATGACGCCGTCGCCACCTACAATACGATTTGTGTAATTATTTTTTTTGGAAATAATTTTCAGGCTAAAAAGAAGATAGGAGAAGACAAATTATAAGATGATATGAATATTAATAATAATAATAATAATAATAATAATAATAATAATGTATATAATAATTATTAATTAATAACAAAACAAATTTTTTCAATGTCAATAAAACAACAATCAAAATACTTCAAAACAATTTATTTCTCATTTATTTATAAACAAGTTAATGTACCTATGCCTGTCATGTCATACTTACCATAAACGACTGTCGCATCTAGTACCCGTCGTTGCTCATTTTACACGAGAAAAAAGCATAATTCGCAATGGCCAATATTATTTAATAATTAAGCACCTAAATATAACTTAAAACCAAAACTAGACATAAAACTAACCCAAAATTAGAAGCCTCCATAGTAAATTTGAATAGCCAAAAAAAAACTTGATAATAAGTCAGTTTTTCAAAACGCGAGTGATATTGCAAATGTTGAGTGTTGACGTCAACTCTGGTAGCATGAAAACACGAATATATATAGCATTTCAAACTAGTAACTCCATGTCTCCATGTTTGAATTCCCATTGAGTTGTAGCCTTGTAGGTTAATTTTCATTATACGACATGAGTGATAAAATTAATTTTTTTCACCACAAAATCTGAAATTAGCCCGGTTAGCCCGGTTAGCCCGGTTAGCCCGGTTAGGCACTTACCCCACCTTACTATTGTCAATTTTATGAAACTAATGCCCGGATTGTAGCATGATAATATTACATAAGAAATTAAGAACCAACCAAATATTTAATTGTAGGTAAAGTTTAAAGAACTACCCTTATGGTTATATTATAACCATTTTTGCCAAAAATGTTTTTTCCAATACGATTTAGTTTTTTTTTTTTAACTAATAATGTTATAATGTTACAGAATATACGGATCGAGACAGCGTATAGTTCACGAAAATTGCAACCAGTGGAACTGCAGTGGCGTCCGCAGGGGAGGGGGGGCTAACGGGCTAAAGCCCCCCCATTGCCCGTATTATTATTACTTTTTAAAAAAAATTTTCAAGTTTAAACTGTCAACTATAGTAAGTAAGACGTAAATTTCATACATGTCTTACCAGAATAATGAATTCATTTTTTAAAAAACATTGTATTTGCATACCAATTTTCATAAATTATCTGTAATTTTTCGGTAAAAGTATGAACTGCTTGTATGAAAGACCTTGAATTAAATTTCTAGCCTTAGCTATACATATATTTTAATATTTTATAAGTTTTGAACTACAAATTAACTTTGGTTAAATTGTTTTGAACTTTAAATGCATATGTATCGTTAATATTTTAGCTATAATAAAAAAACTTACGTATTACATTTTTAAGCTTTTTGATCGGATAAATAATTTTTTATTGACATTTATAAAAAAAAGTTTAATTAATCAAATACAATCCAAGTGAGGACGGTATAACCAAAAACCAAGCTATTGTTACCAAACAATTTAAATAAGTTTTCATTTTTTTTTCTCCAATTAGGTACTTTTAAAAGCACTGAGCAGATTCAATATCGACCTCCTAAAAGTACCAACTAGATCCAATTTGCTTCCAAAAACATACACTGGGCATCGAAGCTTATCATAAGAACATTTTTTCTACCAGAAAAGTTGAAAAGTTACAAACATTTTAAAATACCTCAAATAAACGTCTGAAATTATTAGACTGGACAAAATAAAAATAAATTTGTAACTAATTTTCAAGCCCCCCCCCCCCATTGAAAAATCCTGCGGACGCCACTGAGTGGAAGTACCATGGCGTGGAACAATATATTAAAGCGCAGGCACCTAGTGGTAAGCCGTTAAAACGCGCTTGTGTGAGAACGTGACCAAAGGCCAAATCGGCGAAGGACACGTGTTTATAGTAGGATTACACAGTTACATCGGTAAACCTTTAACGCACTATATATATTATAACCCTTCACACCCACCTAATGCATAATGGACAAGGACAATCTACTAAACATAAATGACATGACCTGAATGGCTGAATGGAATTCAAACGCACAACAGAGACAGCGTGAATAATGTGTTAGTAATGTACCTAGATGGCTAGATAGGTACCTAATAAATAATAATATACACAAGTAATGTAGGTAAATAATCACAAAAATGGATTTGCAATTGTATCCGGTTGTATTTTAAAATCAATAATACAATGTGAAGGGACTACATATGGAGATGACCTCCTAATTAAACAAGGTTGGGGAGGGAGAGAAAATCCATGTACAAACGTTTGACTATAAGCTGGCCAAAGTGATTGTTTGCCGTACGATTGTAGTAGATACAAATTTACAATACGTATTCGGCTAACCGTTATGCAATTCCTTATCTATTTATAGACGCAACTACTTAAAAAAAAAGGTCACACAGCTTAGCTATAAACTCTCAGGTGTCTTAAATATACCCAAGTATGATTGTATTCTAAGCAATATTCTAATTTCTAACTATATTCAAATGTTGATACCTATACATTTCGCCATTTCGGGCGTTAAGACGCCAAGTAGGTCTGTAGATACAATGTTTCAGAAAGCTATGCAACCATTTTAAATGTTATCATGTTTTGTCGAATATAGTCGTATAACTGTATAAACACCATCGTCACCGTCTATAGAAACATTGCCGAACATACTAAACAGTAAACAACCTAACATAACAGTTAACCTACCTACTTAAGTAGGTATGAGAGAAAAATTGTAATTTTCCAATTATATTCAAATTTGAATCATGGCTGTATTGCGTGGTGCCATCTAGTGATTAGGATTTAGGTGTAAGCTACGTTACAATATAATATACTTGGCACCCGATACTTAAGTCATCATTTTTGTATTGTAATGCAATAATGCAACCATTATTATCAACCAAGATATTATGTAAATCATGAATGCACATCCAACCTTACAAATCCATACGGCCATACGTATATATTTTAATATCTACTTATATGAATATAAAATAAAAACTACCTATGAATATTGCAACCGTAGTTAGTAGCTTTGAATATTTCAACATGTTGTACTTATTAGTTATTGATTATATATCACATATAGACATTACCTGCATTACCTTTGCCGTGATCGATGAATGCAGAGGCGTGACAAAAAATGGTATGTGTGGCTCGTGCAGGAAGGCAATTTCAGTCTTGGGCGAAATATACTATTTTCTATCTCTTTTTCACGTCCTCTTAGATCGTATCACAACTTTATTATTTTTCCCTTTCATACACAAAACATTCTGAGAAAATTCTGAACCTATTTTCACGATCTTACCCAACTTATTAATTTCCTTTCCTCTTTCTTTTGTTCCCAGTCTCTTATACAGGTCATCAAACTACTTAAATTGTACTTCTCTATCTGCACTTTTTTGCTTCTTTATTTAGTGTTTTGAACTCTAACCACTCTTCTCACCTTCTTGATATTGAGTTTTCTTCCTAGTTATATTATGTTCTGTCCCTATCATCACACCACCATCTGTTATTATCCTGTAGCATACTGCCCTTACTCTCACCAACTTAACTGCTACATTTTTAATACAATTTTCTGACCTATCCCAGGCTTTATTATTATTTCCCTCCTTAACATACACTGCTTCTTCTATCTGTAATCTGTTTTCCCACAAATCTTTTTTTAAATTTCTCCTGTTAGCTTCCACCACCTAACCACTATTTCCTCCAAACTCATTACCTTACAGCTTACACCATAACTCCAAGACCATAAACCTATATTGTGTTACTACAATTTCTTGCGGAATTATTTCAAAACAATATTTTTAACTGTTCTCCACATATAACAATCTATTTTTGTTCTATTTATTCTACCTTTAAAAGTTATAAAATTGTCCTACACAAAGTAAAGGTATCTGATATTTGTACCTAAATTGAGTAATTAGTTGAAAATGTATTATTACAAATAGAAAATAATAAAATGAATATACTCTGTTCAAAATGAGATCAGTATCGAGCGGCCAAGTTGTGGCTTTGTCACACAACATACCTCTACGTACCTCCGTAGTGGGAACGACATATCAACATCTGACTGTCATGCACGAAAACCGTTCATCACCTGATCTCATTTGAACAGAGTATAGTAGTAACAATAACTATTTATAAATACTTTCTTAGTACATTTTCTATCAAGTATAAAATTTTTTTTAGGTCTGTGTGAATTATAATATAGTATACTAGTTAATGGAATCAAACTAGCCACTATATAATTTTTGGTAATAGAATATGTCCTATTTTCTACACTATTTAACAGCATACAAAAATTTTCGGAAAATTAGAATACAGACATTTTATCAATAGAATGAAGTACAGCTACAAGTATACAAGGTTATACGCAATATATTAGAGTAGGTAGTATGCTAGATATAGTACCATGACTATCATCGTGTGAAAAAGTCTTTACAGTAGGTTCAATGAAAATGTACTATTATTGTACTGAATGCACTGTACAAGAAAAATTAAAGCTGTTTAAAATAAACCACTGGATCAATCAATGACAAAAGCCATATTCCAATACAAAAGATTTATTTATAAGTTTATCATATAAGATATCACTACCGTAAGTTTTTGTCACATTATATTAATATGTTATATAAATTTAATTATTAAATAATACACACGTAATTTAAAATATATAAATAAAATAGTAAAACATACATAGACAATACTAAATTTATCTATTATCAAAATGTCAATGGAATATAATACGATTAGGTTTTTTAGTTTTGGATTCTGGATATGGTGCACGCAGTTGTCTAGGAACAAACCTCAGTGTATTCGAATCAAATGGAGTCAAATCTTTAACTTTCTGAAATACAATAATACAAATATGAATAGTTTTAGTTGATTACATAGAAACTAATATAGTTGGATAGCATTTAGTTCCCATAATATATAAAGATACTAGAATTAAAAATATGAAATACTTAATTACTCAAAGTACTAAAGCCAAAACCATTTTCTTTTAGTCTTACTATTTACAAATAAACTATGAGAGTATTAAAATTAAGTTTACGTTAATGTTATTCATTATTAAAAATATGTGCTGGCACCACCACAACTATCAGTAACTAAGAACAGATATTGTAAATACATTCATATTAAAATACAGGATTATAGGAATTAAACGAGCGATACTGAAATATGTAGTTGTTAATTTAAATTAAAATATATTATTTATTATTATAGATGGTAAATATTACTTACAGATTTCTTATTTATTGTTTCTTTTTTAGTGTTTAGAGGATCAGGCTTTGGTATGATATATGAACACTTAAGACCTCCTTCGAGCCAACGATTTTGTTTTTGAGAATTAGAACTACAACTTTGTAGCTAAAAATAAGAAAAGAAAAGGTTCAAATTATTACTTAAATTTACAGAAAAACCTAATAATTTAATACCATTGAATCGTGAGATGAGCTAGAAAGATCATATTGTAATAACGCAGATGTTTCTCTAAAAAAAAATTACATAATAATTATTATTTATATATCAAATAGAAAGTAGGTAACTGTAGCTGTAGCAATAAAATACATGTTCATTTTTTTTTTATGAAATTTATTTAATTAAACATTTCATATCGGAATCACTAAATGAGTTACAATTGTTAACTGATAAAGCTAAAATATGAAGATTTTGAATGGAAATTTTATATGAATTTATATACAGTTGTCCCAAAAGTACTGTATCACCCTTAGCAGTGGCGTATTTAGGAGGGGGGACGGGGGGACATTCCCTGGGGCGCCAAATTCTGAGTCCTCAAAGGGCCGTTGCTAGAGGTTAAAACAAAATTATTTTTTTATTTTATTGGATTTGTTGAGAAATTATATTAGTGATAATTGATAAGTGAATACCTGTATCTTTCTTATAATATCTTTTACATTTCTACACATATTTCTATGTAATATTTATATATATTATACCGTGTGTTCAATTTTAAAGGTAACAGGAAATATTTCGATCGTATGACCTTGAATTTGATTTGGGGTTTTTATACTGCAAATTGGACTTATAAATACATATTTTTTTAATAAATTCAAATTTTTTTTTTCTATCAGCGCATGCGCAGTAAAATAAAAATTTCTTAAATAGCAACCACTATTTTGGAGACCGGATTTCGATTTCTTTATTTTTTCTGATCAACTTTGATCTTTACAGTTTGTTGATATTTTCAAAATTGCCATGTTTATGACGGTCGGAATTACGATGAATTCGTAAATAATTGTGTGGTGGATGATATCTCTCGGGAGATCGTTCAGCAATCAGCATAAAGTGCCGCTGCGTTACGCGAATTTTGATGACATTCTCCAAAAATTAATACCATATCGGTATTTTCGGAATAGTTTGCCATTGTACAGAAAATAATGTGTCAGTGTCACGCGCGACTTACGAAAAACGTTTCACTATTCACAATCAATTTTAGAATGCTATCAAAATAACTTATTCACACAGGTTAATAGTATAACTTTCATTATAATACTATTAAAAACAAATTAAGATAATAGTAGTAGATAATTTAGTAGTTTTAATAAAAATAAATTGTTATAATAATACCTATAAATACCTATAAATTAAGATAGACCGTTGAAAAATGCGATATTTACAAATTAACTATTTTAAAACTTCCGACCGTCATAAACATGGCAATTTTGAAGATATCAACAAACTGTAAAGATCAAAGTTGTTCAGAAAAAATAAAGAAATCGAAATCCGGGCTCCAATGGTTGCTATACCTATAAGAAATTTTTATTTTACTGCGCATGCGCTGATAAAAAAAAATTAAAAATTTGAATTTATTAAAAAAATATGTATTTATAAGTCCTATAATGCAGTTTAAAAACCCCGATTCAAATTCAATGTCACACAATCGAAATATTTCCTGTTACCTTTAAAATTGAACACACGGTATAATGTATTTTATAAAATTATCGTAAAAAAGGCTAAATTCAAAATTATAATTTGTTTATTTAATTAATAATAAACGGAGTGTTAATGGTAAAATAAAAGTGTTCTCTAAATTAGTGGAAGCATAAATGCAATAAGGGGAAAATATACATTTTGGGTTCTCAATTATCACTTTTACATGGTTTTGGTTTCGATTTGTACACCAGTTTCCAATTTTTTCGGTTTTGGTTTTGGACTTTGTTATCGGTTTCAGTTTTTAAACGGTTTATACTGCATTTAGATAATCCGTTTTAAGACCTGGACTATTTACGTTCATTCTGTTTATTAATTTTTTTGAATCGCTGGATCGAGCGTCCGATCTTCTAATGTGTAAAGTTAACTTTCCAAAATGTCAAGATACAAAGATTTTCAAAAAAACTACCGTTTTTTAAATTATATTTTTGGTTTTTAATTTAATACAGGTATCCAATTTTTTCGGTTTTGGATTTGATTTTGTTTTCGGTTTTGGTCTTATAACGGTTTATACCGGTTTCAAGCAATGCACTATTTACTGAGAGAATAATTAAATTGTAAATTAGAGTTTTTTGTGACAATGAGTAAAAGGAAACTGAGAAAAAAAGGGGCCCCAAAATGTGTGTACCCAGGGCTCCAAAATCGTAAATACGCCACTGACCCTTAGTATCTCCATAGAAAATCCAGATCTTTAAATATATAAGTCTGATTGAATAGCATAAATTTTGTTTTTTTTTTCAAAAATTCTATTTAGGCAATTAAGTTTTTTAAATTTCCAAGATAGCCGTTTTGTTGATCATATTTTTTAACTGTTCAAAAAAAAAAAAAAAATTTAAATTTAATGAAAATCGACCGAGTTAGAGCTAATTATTATTTTGAATTACTATTTACTAAGAATAATATTTATGACATTACCTATGCATACAGTATTAGCAAAATACGATTCACACGCTTTAATTAAAAATTGGAAAGATAATTATTTTTTTGACAGTCTATTAACATCTAATTATTAGTGAAAGCTTTCAGTTATAAGATTAAAAAATATCAATTTTTTATAGCTGATATATGGGGCAAATGTAAACTCCCCTAAAAAATTAAATAGTAAATTCCCCTAATAGTAAACTCCCCTAAAAACATTTTGCTACCGTATTACGCTTACGTAAACTCCCCTAAACAACATTTTTGATTGAGTAATAAAGTGGAAATTGTTTTTATATAATTAAATTTAGTTATTTTTTGATCTTTATAATTTTGTATTAGTTGGTTTAATAATATTGTTGTCGTCTTTTTAACTTATTATTAATATCTATATATTGTATATTATATTATATCTTATATTAATATGTCAGCAAATATTTAATCATAATATCATAATATTTAATCATGCCCTTGCGACGTTGAAATTTTAATAAATAAATAGGTAGGTACACGTAGTTACTGTGTTTAAACAGTAAAATGTTTTTAGGGGAATTTATATAAGCGTAATACAGTAGAAAAATAGTTTTAGGGGAATTAACAAAAATTTAGGGGAATTTACATATGCCCGATATTTGGTATGTCAAAATTCATAATATTTCCAAAAAATAATTGTTTTTTTTATTTTAATAATAAAATTTCTATTTCAATCTGACAGTGAACAGTAAAACTGGTTACCTATTTTTAAGTATTTTAATTATCATGGAGTGAACCTAAAATGGCACAAATAGCCCTGGCACCCTGGTCTATGATTTTACCTTACAGTTATTAATGTAATTTACAATAATACTATTTATGCATATCTCAGTTTTGTAAATTATTATTAAAATTATTCACTTGGGTTCTTTCTTTATAGCTATTACTTAATAGTATCGTACGCAGAGTCGTCTTTAGCTATAACTTTTTGTTCTGTACCTATTTTGTTAAACATTTAAAAATGACATAACTGTTATTCTTAGAAATTCAAAATAATAATTAGCTCTAACTTGGTCAATTTTCATCAAATTTTAATATTTTTTTTAACTGTTTTAAAAAATATAATCAACAAAATGGCTACCTTGGAAATTTAAAAAACTTATTTCCCTAAAAAAATTGTTGGTAATTTTTGAATTTCTGAAAAAAACCGAATATTATGCTATGTTATCAGAATCTCCATACTTATTACTGTAAAAAAATAACGGCATTAAGTATATTGATTTTCCACGGAGATACTAAGGGTGAAACGGGACTTTTGGGACACACTGTATAGTTGAATTCAATAATTTAAAATAAATATCAAACATTACTTCTTATAGGTATGGTCTAAACCAATCTTATTAATATGTTTTTTAACTTCTATTATTCTCATCTGTAATTTTGATCTAGTTTGCTCAATGGATTCAAGTTCAGGTGCATAGCAAACATGTAAAATACCACCAAAGAAATTTTTTGTGTCCATTTGTTTTTTAGCAAATCTAAAATATTAACACATTAAAATTCTATACAATATAATATAATATATGACAAAATTGAACTAAAATTTTAATAGACCTGGCTGATTGTATCTGAATAAATATCACATGAAAACTATGAGTAAATTCTTCTTGGTCTTCAAATTGCACTTGTCGAATACGCAATATATTACCATAACGCTTACATAATTTTTCCACTTCATCGTGTAAATTGATAGATGGCACACCTCTGATCAACAAATGCTGCGACTCATCATTCACCGTGTAAACCTTATTATTATAGTCAAATACAAGTTTAAGGAATTTATTTATTTAAATGTATATTTTTTTTATAAATAGTAAATACACTGAATACAGTACAGTTTTTCATAAAATTCAGAAAAGCTCTGAATCTTCTTGGATTTATGTCGATAGGATAGATACATTTTACTAATATTTATTGTAATCGTTTGAACGTAAACAAAATCGGAAAAAATTACAACATAAGAATTATCTATAAATATTGGCAATTAATCAAGGATACGTGGTTTTCGGTCTGATATCAATCTTAGTACCTTAATTGCTGTAAGTTTTCGGCCTTGTCTATACTTTGGCCTATTTTCGCAGTAATTTAACATGTTGTGATGAGGATATGACTTTAAAACTGAGACTTCTAGATTCTGTTTAGACATTGTAAAAACTAAATTAATTAATTAAATTTTGAAAATAAAATCCAAAATTTCAGACAAATGATTGGACAATTAATACGTCTTAGTAAAACCATGACCACAACAAGGCTATAAAAATTAAAAGTACAAATTTTAATTTAAGCAATAAAAAATAAAATCTAAAATTTAATTGAAAAAATAAAAAATGTATTATATTAATATATTGTAATAACTGATAATATCAAGTAAACCAAACAAGATACAATAACAGAAATCGGAATAAATTAATTCTGTGTGGGTAATCCGTGATAGTCCGTGGAGGTAAAATTGGTAAAATTGTCCGTGGTTATTACCATAGAACAAATGTTGTTACCATAAGCAGCTAAACGGCCAATCGCGTGATACCAGTATACCACACGCGCTGTTCTCGCGGGAAACACTGCAAGACGTACACCGTAGATAAACAAATAACCTTAAAAAATTCAGTATTTTCAAATCCGACATGTTGACTTCCATCGAAAATTTCACTAGTCATTCGCGAACTGCAACGGGTAACTGACTCTATCATATCATGCAGAGACTTGTTTCTCGTTAAACTGTCGGCGACTTCAGTGACCGGTCCCTCGTCCCTGTGAATGTCTACCTGCTAGAAAAAAACATCTATCACCATTCTACCGTCGACGTTATGAACACGGGACTAAGATATCCGAAATATATATAATTATCTTGAATTGAAATATTATTTAACGAATTTGCCTGTAACGAACAACACTAGTAAATATGGCCGTCTCCAAATTTAGTGGTTTGTATATACACATTTACATTAATATTTAACTCAAGATTTTTTTCATTTTATTTATGAAATTTTATAGATGCAGTTACAAAACTAAATACACCATTTGATGTGTTTAAATTGGACTGTAGAGAAATGATATCAAATGCCCAAGCATTTAAATTACGTGAGGCGTTACTGACAATGACGTTTAAAAAAAAATCGTGTGATCTATATTCATTTTCTCAATCACCGGATTTCATGCGTTCGACAAAACTGAAGAAACCTAAGGAAGTTGAACAGTTTTTAATTTTGCTAAAAATAATAAAAAACAAAATAGCTAAATACTTAAAAAAAAACTTTAATAATACGATTAGTGTATCTTGTTCTAGATATGATCGCGGAGGTAATTTTTTCCATTTTGGTTTTATGTATGTAAAATTTCTAACTGTATTGTCTGTATATTTAGATTACTTACTTTGTCATGATGATCGTGTCGACGATAGGTCTGTAGCATTCATATATTATTTGAATTATGATTGGCTTCCTGGATGGGGTGGCACATTAGATGTTTATTCGGTTGACAACACAAATTCTGCCACAGAAATTGCAGAAAAAATTAAGCCAGATTTCAACTCTATGATTTTTTTCCCTGTTGAAAGTTATACTTATCACCAGGTATGTCATTAATTTTTTTATTCCAATTATGAGGATGTCAGTGAAATATTGATTTTCTCTCTCAGACCCACAAGCAACATAGAGTAAAATCATCTTTTACAAAAATTATAAAGGATAATATTTTTTAGTACTTACCTATTTTTCAATTTTATATTTTACTATTATAACTTATTAGACTCAATATAAAATAAAAAATTGTAAATTTAAATTATGTTTAAATTGTTTTGAGACAATATTTAGATAAATCAATGTCACACCCTCAAAAATATTATTCTATATAATTTTTGGAATGGGTGAATTGACTATACTGCAAAACCGAAAGTAAGCTCTTCAGCCACGCATTGAAATGAACGCTGTCTTGAGGTATAATTTCTCCCACCAAGTGGACTGACAAAATGGACAGGTGCGACAAGTTTTGGTTACCACTCAGTAGTGTTCTCTCGGTGACCAAACTATAAGATTACTCAAAAATAAATGATTCTGTGTAAATGTAATTTATCTGTTTTGCATGGGCCAGAGAAAGAAAACAAACAGCACTGCTGACATCTTCATAACTTATAACAATCTAACTTATCTCTTATTCCATAGGTGGCTGAAAATACATCTACCTTTCCTCGTATTTCCATTAACGGTTGGTTCCACAGTGATGAACTATCTTGGGAAATGTGTGACCTGCCAGTCAAGGTTCACTCTCCAATTTTTACACCGCATTCAGTTTCTAATGAAAGGGTATTTATATAACAATTTAATTATAATATTTATAGTTATTTATTTATATGAGTTTCCTGAATTTTTATTTTTATTTAAACATACATTTTTGCAAAAAAATTTCAGAAATATTTATTTTATAATCTATAAATCTAGTTGATGCATTCGGGAGGTCAAAATTTAAAATTTCCAATAGTTTTCAAAAGTGCCTGGAAAAACAACATAAAAATTATGAAAAAACGGGAATATTTACCCAAAATCAGTTTTTGAAAATCTATTTTGGTTTTTGGTGTAACCCTGAAACAAATTACCATAGATACATGACATTTTCACTGGTTGTTTATATTAGCATTTTCTATACACGATAACATTTTTAAAATATTTTGATTTGTTTTGAACTGTTTAGGGACATTTTCATTTTCCATTTTTTTTTAGTTTTTATTCTAAAAATATCAATAAAATTTTATTTGTTAGTTTCTAGCCCTATACAAGGCTCCAGATATATTGTGACATTAGCAGTTGAAAAATATTAAAAATATATAGCCACATTTTTTTTTTAATAAGCATGAAAGTTCAAATTTTGACAAAATGTAATAATTATTTTTTAGTTAAAAATTTATAAAATGTTAAACTTTTATAGCTACAGATTTAAAATTTAAACCAAGGTTCCACGTAAATGGGTTATAATATATAAATTACTTTATTCACAATTATATCATTAAATTATTAAACAATATACTTTATAGTATCATAGCAGATACATACATACATACATACATAATATCATAGCAGAATTAACACAGTATTTACAAATAATAATTCATATTTCAGTGTAATAACATCTCCATTATGTGCATAGAAGACATATTTGAAAAATCATTGTTTCGAGAAGCTATTAAAGAAACATTTAAGAAAGATGGGTTCATAATGTGCGAGGGATTTTTCAAAACTCAAATGGTAGATTATTTATCTAATGATGTATTTTCTAATGACCTGAATTGGAAAATCAAAGGACCTTTAAACAAAAGGTAAATGTTTAGCCAGTGTTGTTTATTTAAACATTGATACATATAATATTATTATTATTATTATTATAATGATGTATTATTATTCTAGGCAATACAAATATTTAGATTTACAAGATTTGCCAGAATCAATTTTGTCTGTTGTTAATTTGTTAAAGACTGAACGCATGTTTACATTTTTCCAAGACTGCACAGGTCTGAGATTTATTGCTGGTAAGTTGAATATGAAAAGTTTTAATAAAACATCAATCTTATAAATTTTATTTTAGATTCTGAACGATGAATGTATTGATTTTACAATGATGTGTTTTTTTTTTTATTTTTTTTTTTGTCTGTCATCTCGTTTTAGGACAGTAAAAGTGCTTGGATTTTCTTCAACCGTATCTTTTCTGATAGGAAAGTGAATCTAGTTGGTACTTTAGGAGGTCAAAAGTAAAATGTTCCCAGTAGTTTTCACAAGCGCCGGGAAAAACAACATAAAAATTAAGAAAAACGGGAATTTTTACGCAAAATCGGTTTTCCAAAACATTGATTTTGGTTTTTAGCGTAACTCTAAAACAAATGAACGTATATACATGAAATTTTCACTAGTTGTTTATATTTGCATTTTTTATACCCGATAAAATTTTTAAAATATTTTGATTTGTTTTGAGCTGTTTAGGGACATTTTCATTTTCCATTTTTTTTAGTTTTTATTCTAAAAATATCAATAAAATTTTATTTGTTGGTTTCGAAAGTTTGAAAATTTAACAGAAGGCTCCTAGTATATCGTTTCAAAGGCAGATGAAAAATATTAAAAATCCTTAGTCACAATTTTTTTTATAAGGATTTAAAGTTCAAAAATTGACAAAATATAGAAAAATCACTAAAATTAGCAAATTATTTTGAGTTAAGAATTCGTAAAAAATTTTCTTTTTAAATCTAAGATTTGAAAATGTAATGTAAGATTCTTTATAGGGTTGTCTACCTTTATCAATAAAAAAATCTACCGGAAAGTCAAATTTTTATGAGCGTTTGAAATTCAAACTTTTACAACATTGGATATTCAATCGATTTCTCTTGTAGGGATTTCCTTATTTTGTTGTAATTCAAAAACAAAAAACTGTAGATACATGGAAATTTCACTGAATGATCATATTAGCATTTCCTATACACTGTACAATTTTGACTCTTTTTGAGCTATTTACGGACATTTTTAGTTTTTTTTTCTATGAATATCAATAAAGATTTATCTGTTGGCCCAAAAAGTGTAAAAATTTAATACAAGGTTCCTGATATATTGTTACAACAGCAATTGAAAAATATTAAAAATACATATGCACAATTTTTTTTTATAAGCATTTAAAGATCAAATTTTGATAAAATTTATCAAAATCTCAAAAATTATCAATCATTGTAATTAATAAATTATAAAATGTTCATTTTTATAGCTAAGGATTGCAAATTTAAAACAAAGGTTCTCGTAAATAGTTCATACTGTAACCAAAAAATCTAAAAAATATATGAACACGGTTATTTTTTACAGATATATTAAATTCAAATTAATAATGTTAACGATCTTGGTTTTTTTTTTTGTAATTTAAAAATATTATTTGGGGATTTATGAAACTGAAAAATCAAAATATTATGGCCCATCTATACACTCTACCATAGTATAAGGAATAAGAAGTATGCTCAATGATAAGGCTGTGCATATTTTAAGGGGCAATGAATAATTTATTCATAAATTCCATATAATTTAATACCATAGATAAGTATATAATAAATCTTATACCTAGACTGACATACCGTCTCTGCTCAGAATCGTTTTTCTTATACAATGATATTATATCATTGAATTCAAATTTAATACCATCCATTATACATTGACTCACTTGTGACCTACAGTACAGCAGAGTGACATCCACTTACCCACCTTTTTATTATTAATAGTGAAATTTTTTATTTTTAGTTAATATTGAAGTGCAAAGATGGCATGGTGGACACTATATGGTATCGGGCGGAAACGATGGTCTAGACGGTTATAATATATTGAGTGTCTATTTATTTTTTAGTCAGTGTTTTGGCGAAATGTCTGATAAAGAAAAAGATGATCTACATTATGTATTTGAAGTAAAAAATACATTAACACCAGTAAATATATACTTATTTATACTAAATAATTATAAATTAATTAAATAATTTTTTCTTTTTTAGAAATTTGCATGTAAGCCTCAGCACAATACTATTTTTATGGTAAATCGAGATCCCAATATGGATTCATATGTTACATATTGTAAAATAGTTGATGGTCATGCTTGGACTGTAGTTGTTGCTAATTATGTGATTCGTAGAGATTTTGAGTGTACACTGAGACTATCAAGGTGTGACCAATAGGAAAATTAACTTTTATTCTATTTTGTTTTTTTTTTAATGTTGACATGACTACATTTATTTAACTATTATTTTCCTACTGTATTGTGCTTTATAATCTTTTTTATTTTTAATGTTTGTGATTACATCATCAAAGAATTAGAAGTTTTTAGAATTTTTTTTTTATCAATAAAGTGTTCTTAATTTATAAATAATTATTATTCATAAGAATAAGTTGTGTTTGGATATTAAATCTAGTATCAGAGTTTGATATTATATTAATATCACTTGATTAATTATAGTAAACTTATTATTTATCATTTACCTTAAATAACATGTTTCAAGACATGTGTTGTCTTTTAAATAGTAAGGAAATCATAAGTTGTGCAGGTTAAACAACATTTTTAAATGTATAAAAAAAGGAATAATATATTGATGTTATCATTTTTTTCAATTATTTTCAATTTGTATGTTACTAGCTGTCAACACCGTGGATAGTTGTTTGTTAAAAAGAAAAATTTATTTGTCTTAAGTTTATTTTAAAAATGACTGAGAATAATAAACATATTGTGATATAAGAATAATATTACTATTATATATTTTAACATTTATTTTTATTTAATATACATATTTAATTACATAATATTTTAATAGTTAATACTATAGTAATTAATTACAAATGGTCAGTTGTTGTCTGTTGGCGTAGAACATAATTAAAACATTTTTATTTAAGTATGAATAAATTAGTTTAATTTTTTTTTTTTGTTAACTTACTAATTACTACAAAATTAAGTATAGACGTAAATTGCTTATAATAATAAATATGATATTCTGTAGCAGTGTTGTCTATTAGAAAAAGATCACCAAAAAAATATCTGGATACGATAACAGATAAATCATTGATCATTTATCAAGATAAAAAATAGAAGACTTTTTAAAAATTGTAAAGATGTTGCATATTAGTGATTAATAATTATTATTTAATAAAACCTTAATATGTAATTTATCGAGTCTCAACTAAAGATAATTTGAATATTAAGTGGAAATACAACTTGAATAAAAATATAATAACAAAATGTGGGTAAGTGGATGCCGCTTTGCTGTACAGTAGGTTACAAGTGGGTCAATGTATAATGGATTGTATTAAACTCGAATTCAATGATATATCATTGTATAAGAAGAACGATTCTGAGCGGAGACGGTTTATCAGTCTGGGTATTTTATATTGCCATTATTTAATATTTATTATATCTCGTAAGTTAACTAAGTTAACTAAGTTAATATGTTAATTTTTTTCGGTTCTATTGTGATAGACAAAGTGTTAGAAATTAAAATCCCATTTTTTGTAGTTTTTCGTAATTTGTCAGTAGTTTTTCCCGTGGCATTAAATAACTATTGAGAAAAGATAAGTTACTATATTATGTTGAAATCGAAGCACTCCTGGTAAAAATGTATATATAGGATTAAAAAAATAAATAAACACCATTGTAAAACCACTAGCTTCCTTGTTCCGCTCAGAATCTAAAACCGAACTATCACTATGTTTTAGTGAATATTTTTTGTATACGTTAACTTTGATCTACAACATAATAACATGAAATGTATTATCACCAAGTTGTTAATTATTTCTTGGTACTTTGTGTTACAACATGGACCGCTTTATTGAAAAACTGATTTACTACTGCAGTGCTGCTAAAAATATAGAATTGTAGTATTATGTTTAAAAAAATATACTTTTTAGTTCTTTGACCGTTGAAATTCAATTAAAACATCAGTTCTTTTTTTTAGCATTTAAAAAAGGTAGTGCTTGTAGATTTGCAAAATTAGAATTTCTTGATTCTGAGCCCAATATACCCATGAAATCATATTTTAACTTTAGAATAACAATTTTAGTTTTTGTTTATACTTTAAAAATATTATCCATGCATACTTGAATGCAATGGTGGGCAAGTTAGTGAAAATAATTAAATGTCGCAAGTCAAGTTAATTCAATTAAATTGCCTTCGGTTTGGTCAAAAGTTAACAAAGAAAAAAATTTAACTAGTTAAGCTTAAAGTTAAGATAGAAAATAAAATAAACTTATCTCAGTCAAAAAGTAGTTAATTTTTTTGAAGGAACAATATTTTTAAGTCATTAACTGCCATAGTATTTTGTTACATACAAACATTTAACACTGAGTAAACAATTAAATAATTATAATATATTTTTCAAAAATAAATTATCAAAATCATGAAAGAGTCGACGAATCAGTATTATCTAGTTGATTACGAACGACTCGAAAAGGAAATTCACTGTACGACAATGATAATGAACTATAAAAAGTTAAGTTTCAACAATAAAAATTTTAACTGAATAAATAAAAAAAAAGAATAACTAGTTTTTAACAAGTTGATGCCCCCACCTTTGACTATAAAAAAAGGGTACCTACTAGTTCTCCCAGTGTAATAAGAAATGTGAAAAGTAAAATATTTAAAAATAGTACTGTTAGTGCTACATATTTTCCAAATTAAACATTGATGGTGAATACACAACGTCAACATGTCTAACATTATAATACATAACATCCATGATCCAAATAATCAAGTACTAATTTTTATTTAAAAGTTCAAGTGTTTTATTAATATTTTTGTAACCAGCCGAAATGCCTGTTAAAAACTATTATTGCTAAACATACAATTTAATAAAGCCAATTTCCAATAAATTAATATAATTAGATATTGCACCAATGTATACATTTACTTTGGGGTAATGCACTATAATATTAACCTACAACATGATATTATATATTTGACCTTATAAGTGTACTATTAAGTATCAACCAGTAAAATAAAAATTGTACAGCTACATGTTGAAGTTTAAAAAAATGTATTTTGTATTTAGAACAGTAGTAAGATTATAATTTATCATGTATACATTTTCTATACCTAATAAAAATGGTTTAAAACTGAATAAAATGTTATGTAGTTTTATTGACAGGATTAGGAATTCTGAAATGTTTACAAACATAAATAAAAACAAAACAAAATATTAACTATTTAGAATGTATTTATCAATTTGTGTATCCAGAATACCACACACATAAATGCATCAAACATTTTTAAGTAGACCACATATTTGACATTAATTATAGTTTCAAATTATTTAATTGATACGTTTGACATTTAAATGGAAAGCAAAAAAATTAACTCAATTGTCCACAATTAGCGACCTGGATCTTTTTGGTAGTTTTACCACTCTGAGTACCATAGGACTCGATTTTCTTGACAACATCCATACCATCAACAATAGCACCAAAAACAACATGTTTGGTGTCCAACCACGATGTCTTTACAGTGGTTACGAAAAATTGACTACCATTTGTGTTGGCTCCAGCATTGGCCATTGACAGGATACCTGAAATATATTTTTTTTTGTTAAATAATTATTCATTAAACTAAAAATTAAATAATTTGTATTGATAATAGTGTTATTGATATAACTACAGCCACAAACTACTATAATAATTTTAACTTCACAAAATGCAGTTTAATTAATTATTTTTATCATGGGTACCTAATTAAATTGACTTTAGTTGAATGTTTTATATTCTTATATTATTAAAACGTTATGCAATTTTTTTTTTTTTTAAAGGTATATCCAAAGTTCTACTCATCCCATTGACCCACATTTGCACGATTTTGTTTTTAATGGAATTGTTTGGTGATAAGATTAACTATTTTAATTTATTAGTATAAGGTCAATGAATAAATTAAGTAGTTATTGGCATTTGGCTATATAATGTTGCTTTAATATTACATTAAGGCAACATTTGTTGCTACATGTAATTGGCATGGATTTTTATAGGTGTTCACTTTAGAAAAGGTTTGCATAGGTTAACTACGTCTTAAAATATAAAAATAATATATTGTCACAGAAAATATATACTATATACTTGAATTGCTTAAATGTAGTCTTTAATTTTTTTTTTTTTTTTTAAACATAAGGTAGTGTAAAATATTTGCACAGCTTACACCAGTAAACTCATGGTAAGATGAATATAAATAAAAGTAACTCACCAGGACCAGTGTGCTTCAGTGTAAAGTTCTCATCTTCAAATTTGTTTCCGTAGATGGATTTTCCTCCAGTGCCATTATGGTTGGTGAAATCACCACCTTGACACATGAAGTTGGGAATGACACGATGGAAAATGCTTCCTTTATACCCAAAACCTTTTTCACCAGTACACAAAGCACGGAAATTTTCAGCTGTTTTTGGTACTACATCACTGCGGAGCTAAAAAATAAGAAAAACAATTAATGTTGATAGTTTGTTAAACAAGCAAATTAATACTTATGTATTAGAGTACCATTATAATGCAATTTAATAATTATTACATTTTTTTTTTTGATAATAAATATCTAGAGGAATACCAACAAATAAACACAGTTCATACCAAAAGTGTCCTGACTCATGGAGTTATATATATATATATATACAGTTAAACAGTCGTAAAAAAGTGGAAACAATGGCAGAAACGGTTTTAATGGTAGCATGATTGATGATGAATGTATGAGAGTAGTCCTTGAAAATTTACGACATTGGTTTCTCACCATTGAAGGTCCACGAAATCTAAATTTATTTTAGTTTCTCGGAGGAGAAATCTATTAATTTATATGAGTAACTCAGTATTTGAACGTGTTGCACACCAATTCTTAGAGTGTAAAACACGTGATTTCGGTCGAGATCAAATGTCTCGCGACAACCGATATTTGTTCAACCATCGAAAATACCAAGGGTTAAAGGGGAAGGCAAACGGACGCGTACATCTATGATGTCAGCAGATCTATTTCATATTTAACGGATGTTTTGATGTATTTACAGTTGCGAGTTGCCGAAACAAGGGGAACACCTGAGACCTATAAAATATGGCGTCATCCAGACATTATTTCAGCCGTAGGTAACAACCGAACATACGACAGGGTACGGGAGTCACTGTCGAAATATTATGGACGCGTTCCAAATGTCGGAGACAAGAATGTACGACGAACAAATTCCGTACAGATCGAAAACAATTTTCCGGATTTCGATCATTCCAGTCATCGTCAAGGCGTCAGGCGAGCGCGCAAGAACAAGGAAAATATTAAAATGTCAATTCCGAGTGTTTTGGAGTGATAAAAATTTCAACCGGAGAGAAACGCACGCATTCCATGGGATGAAAGCAGAAGAAATCGGTACGCGCCCTCGGCAAACGCGTTAGGGAGTCGGAAATGGCGACTAGAAAAAAAATTGTGGCGTCTCCACTTACCTCAATCGTGATGCGGCCCAATGGCTCGTTGTCGGCAGCCATGTCGAAGAACACTTTAGGAAGACTCATTTTGGCGGTTGGTGGTTTCGATTTCGTAGAGTATAAAAGGAATGAAGCGAGACCTCCGGCGTACGAGTGATTCGGAGCGGAGCAGTATTGGAATTGCCGGCGGGTGAACAAGCGAAACGTGGTAGACGCCATTATGGTGCTCTCGTCCGGTTTTCGAGGTTATGCGGCCCACAGACGCTACGACGTCCAAAGAGAATGGAAACTCGTCGACGAGTGGCGACTATGCGCGAGCCCGCCGCGCCCCGACGTACGTTCGTAAATCGTCTGAATTTCAGGTCAGCGCGGCGGGGTCACCGCGTTTGCGTATTTCGACTTGTCGTTAATATTTTTAAACACTATAATATGTCGTCGACTCGTCGCACGTCGATATACTTGGGCAGGTATACTTGGAAGTTGAAGTTATTAAGTTTTATAATTTTTAACTATACACTATAATACATTTTCATGTGATACTAATATTTAATAGTATTTATCCTTGATCTTTATTTTATAGCTGAAGCAGCTGATGGCATTCCAATTATTGTCTGAAATTCCGAATTCACTCGCGTGTGTATGTAGTAGGTTCTAATTTTCTGGCTCGCCGACAAGGATGAGCAGTACCTATATGAACGTAAATAAATATAGTATTTATACCTATAAGCATTTATAATCTGCTGTACCACTATAGTCTATACCAGGTTCAGGTACATATATATATATATGTAGGTACTAGTTACGTCCAGTAAAAAAAGTTAACACGGTACTAAGCCTGCGCGATAGGTAGGTTGGTACTCAAAATATGTAGTCCAGTATTGATGATAATATAGTCTTAATTAAGTACCTATCACGTATAGGTATGTAACTATACTTATCTTATTGAATAAATAAGTTATAATATTATAATCATTCTGTTTAAGCAATCCGGACCTATTACTACAACCTTATTGATAGGTGTACATCATACATGTATAACAATATTGTACCTTATTACATTTTATTATATTATACGCATTACGCTCAGCAACCATATAAAAAAATGTAATACATTTAAAATATAGACATTACATTAGGTCGGTGCAGGTCTGATGGCGTGTACGGCGTAAACATTTTAATAATACGGCTTTTTGATTTTAAAAAGGCTCGAATAAGTGGAAGGTATTGTTGAAAAAAAATTAATTCAAGCAGAAACATCAGAGAAAGTTACTCATAGAACACCAACTGTTAAGGAAAAGTAGAAAAAAAACTGAGCTTTTGTTTTTACCCTTTCGTCTTTTTATTGAAAAAATATCTTTTTGATTTTTTAAAAATGGTATAATTCATAATTTATTGTATATTCATTAGAGATGGAGTACCTACAGCGTATTTAATGTTAAAACTGGTAGGTACCTAATTGCGCGCAAAGCAATAATTATTTATTATTCTATATAATTGTGCTATTATGTTTATATACCATCATATTAGATTGAAGATATTAATATACCTATTACAAGGGCTAGGGACTTCATGCAATAAAAAAAACCTTAAAATATACATGCGTTTATGATTAGAAGAAAAACTAAATAGATATGCATTTTAAAAAAATGAATCATAGTATTGGATAAAATCTTTTTATTTTAATATCTAGATAATATTTCGCAAAATAAAAAAAAAAATATAATAAAAAATTGCATTAGATTAATTTTCTTTTCTGATTTGTTATCTTTTTACAACGAGTTTTAGGGAATCATGCTTGTGACGTAGGTAGTACCAATAAGTAAAAATGCGAGTGATCGGCAAGGAAAACAAACACTAATTTTAAAATTTTTATTTTATATAAATAAAAACAGCATATTAGTATCTCAGATCCCGGAAATCTATTTAAACTTAAGTTTTATTTTGCAAAACTATACAACTTAAAAATGTATATAAAAAAAAGTGGATCACTGTATAATGGATAGTATTAAATTTGAATTCAATGATATAATATCATTGTATAAGAAAAACGATTCTGAGCGGAGACGGTATGTCAGTCTACGTATAAGACATATTATATACTTATCTATAGTATTAAAAATAATTGACCTATAATAAATTCCAAATTAATCATATCACAATATCCATTAGGTACTTATAACGAGTTATATACATCAACAACAAACCCTGATACTATCATAGATATATAATAGTGTACCTACTTTAGAAGTTTCAAGTATACCCACGAATAATATTATACAATCATAACAAAATAACTAAAATAGTTATTCTAGGTTTTTTATGTAATTTTGTCCAAATTTTAACTTAAAATGACTATAAAAATAAACTGTGCTTGTGTATTTTTTATATTTTTTGGTAACAGAATTAAGTACTTACGTAGAATCTTGTTTTAAATTTCCAATCCTTAGATATAAAAGTTGAACATTTTATAATCTATTAACTACAAAATAATTATTCAAATTTAAATTTGATTAATTTTGTCAAAATTCGATCTTTAAATGCTTATAAAAAAAATTGTGACTATGCATTTTTAATATTTTTCAACTGCTATTGTAACAATATATCAGGAGCCTTGTGTTAAAATTTTACACTTTTTGGCCCAACAGATAAAACTTTATTAATATTCATAGAAAAAAAAAATAAAAAAATAAAATTTGAAATTGTCTATAAACAGCTCAAAACAAGTCAAATTATTTTGAAAATTTTATCAAGTTTAAGAATTGATAAAATAAACATTCAGTAAAATTTGCATGTATCTGTAATACAGTTATTCGTTTTTGAATTACAACAAAATAATGAAATCGCCACATTAGAGATTTCTGAAATCAAGTGAATATCCAATGTTGTAAAAATTTGAATTTCAAACGGTCATAAAAATTTAATTTTACTTTCTTATAGACATTTTTTTTTGATAAATGTAGAAAATCTTATAAGGAATCTTGTATTACCTTTTAAAATCTTTGTTTTTTAAAAGAAAATTTTTACGACTTCTTAACTCAAAATAATTTTTCTAATTTTAGTGATTTTTCCATATTTTTTCAATTTTTGAACTTTAAATGCTTAGAAAAAAAAACTGTGGCTAAGGATTTTTAATATTTTTCATCTGCCTTTGTAACAATATAGTAGGAGCCTTGTATTAAATTTTCAAGCTTTTTTAACCAACAAATAAAATTGTATTGATATTTTTAGAAAAAAAACTAAAAAAAAATGGAAAAAGAGAATGTGCCTAAAGAGTTCAAAATAAATCAAAATATTTTGAATATGTTATCATGTTTATAAAATGCAAATATATAGAACCCGTGGAAATTTCATGTATCTACTATCATTTGTTTTAAAGTTACACCAAAAACCAAATTCAATTTTGTGAAAAATCAATTTTGCGTAAAATATCCCGTTTTTCCTTAATTTTTCTTTTGTTTTTCTTGTCGCTTTTAAAAATTACTAGGAATTTTAAATTTTGACCTCCCCAATGCACCAACGATATTCACTTGGAACAAGATACTGAAGTTGAAAATTGACGAAATATTTCGACCACTTATCGTGTACACAGACACAAATAAAAAAAAATAAAATAAAAAAAAAAAAACACACATCATTTTAAATACGATACGTTAATCGATTCATCGTTCCACTCACAATCTAAAATGAGGTATTACACATATAATACTAATAATAGTTATAAATTTACAGTAAGAGTATAGGCAGGGCTTGCAAATGTTATAATAACCTTGAGATTATAACTTTATATTTGACAAAGTTGTAAACGCAATTATATATTTATAAAGGAAAACGAAAAACAAAAATTATTAAATACCACAAAAAAAAAAAACCATACCTAACGATTAACAAAACATATAATATATTATTAAACATTCATTTAATCATTAAACTTAAAACGTAATTTATAGAATATCAAACAAAAAATAATGCAACATGAAATTATTTAAAATATATTTATTTAAAAGTTTGGTTATTACATGCAATTTATTAATATCTTCAAACAATCTAAGAATTTATTATAGATAAATAGGTATATGATTATATCTATTATATACATATAATAACATAATATTTTACCTATATACCAACATCTTTTAAATAGACCAAGAATTAGATAAGTACCTGGGTGTTATATAGAATGCCAAAATTAAATATGAATAAAATAATAAATTATAATTTGCTGCAAGCATTTCAAATTATGTTGAAAAAATTAATTTGTAAATTACTTGCTGGATTATTAGAAATTTAGAAAATGTTGGGTAAGATAACTTTTTACTTATAAATGGAGATAATCGCAAAAATTGTGTATCATTTTAATTATGGATTTGAGTATTTGAGAGGAAACAATTTATGTTGAAAATGTAGTCTTGAAGGTAGTAAAAATCCCGCGCAAACGCTATTTGAATTCAAACGATGTTTGTCCGCCACGGCTTATGGTTCTGAGTCAACCACGGACTAAGGTCATAGAACAGTAAGGTAGTGGTGCCAACAATAGGCGATAAAACCTTGTAAGGTAGAAAATAATATAGTATAAGGATAAGGTCTATGGTATTGTTCTATGATGGTACCAACCACCTGTGGGCCGTGACGACAGCGTGGCCACCATGATGGGTGGCGATCGCAGGGAATTGGCAACAGGTTTGAAATTACATCCCCCATTGGTCGGTTTTGTAGATACTTACAAGCAAACAAAGTGCAAACCATGGTTCAAAATGGTACAAGCAATCCCGTCAGCGGCCGTCTAACTGTTTGGTTAGTTTTTTATTTTCTTAAAATTAAATAAACCAGTAACCACCGGCCACCGCCGTCCACCACTGGCGTTCATACTTCATAGAAAAGTATACTTACTTTTTTTTTTATAGTTTTTATAGTTATAACTATAGTAATTACTACTGCTGGCGTTTAATCAATTACTCGATCGGAATCGGGATCGTGTGCAAGTAGCAAGTGTGTAACCTGTGAGTACTGAGACACTGAGTAGTCGAGATTTTTAGATTATTATTATTATTATTATGCTGAGTAAGTTGCCAGTCAGTAAATAATCGCGACATAAAATGCCTAGACGCCTAGTAGTGTTCTTGTCTAATGTCTATTGTCTATGGCCTAGTTTTCATATCTATCAGTGTTCGGAACGTGCACTAAAAAACTGAATTCGTTCACAATCACGTTCATTGATTAAAAAAGAAACTCGTTCACACTCAAGGTTTTTTTTTCTAAAATGAACACATTCACGTTCTTTGAAAAAAAAAATGATAATGAAAATTTAATTTTTATGAATAGATTAAATATTAATACATATCCGTGGAAATCATAATATTATTGTTATATTCATAATATCATCGATAAAATAATTTATTGTTATATGTCGAGCCGAGCACACGACTGCACACTGGAATTTCACGTAGATATTTGATTTTTATAACTCATTATATAAATATAATTGGAATATTATAATTTTGGAATCAAACAGCCTCCCGATAACTGACAAAATATAACAAACGTAAGTGATGTTGCGTGTTGAGATTTTTTTATTTTTATTTTAGCTATGTTGTTGGAAAGTCCAACAGAGAGGCCTAACCATGCCAATGAACCTGTTGCCATGATAATTTTTGACATCGGTTTTATTGGTTTCTAGATCTCAGCATTTAAATTGATTGTTGCTGGGATTTAGAAACCAGTATAACAGTTGTGCAGTTTACAGCTCAAGATGAAACGTTGTTGGGAAGTCAAACTGTGCCGTCATGGCCATGCAAATTTTTGACATCGGTTTTATTGGTTTCTAGATCTCAGCATTTAAATTGATTGTTGCTGGGATTTAGAAAGCAATATAACAGTTGTGCAATTGACAGCTCAAGATGAAACATTATTTTGTTGGGAAGTCAGAGTGGCCAAACCGTGATTCCATAGCTATGCACATTTTTGACAAAGGTTTTATTGGTTTCTAGATCTCAGCATTTGAATTGATTGTTGCTGGGATTTAGAAACCAATATAACAGTTGTGCAGTTCACAGCTCAAGATGAAACGTTGTTGGGAAGTCAAACTGTGCCGTCATGGCCATGCAAATTTTTGACATCGGTTTTATTGGTTTCTAGATCTCAGCATTTAAATTGATTGTTGCTGGGATTTAGAAAGCAATATAACAGTTGTGCAATGGACAGCTCAAGATGAAACATTATTTTGTTGGGAACTAGAGTGGCCAAACCGTGATTCCATAGCTATGCACATTTTTGACAAAGGTTTTATTGGTTTCTAGATCTCAGCATTTAAATTGATTGTTGCTGGGATTTAGAAACCAATATAACAGTTGTGCAGTTGACAGCTCATGATACTACATTGTTGACAAATGAAACCGAGCGGCCAATAAACGTACTGCCATGGCCGTGCCAATTCTTGACATCTCTTTTAATAGTTTCTTCTTCCTAGCGTTTAAATTAATTGTTGGGACTTGGAAAGCATTATAAGGTGTGTTAAGTGTTTTATTTTTTAAGATATAAATATTTTTATTTGTCTATATGGTGTTAGTGTATGAACTAAGGTCTGATAATACTTGCTGGTTTAATTTTATAATTTTAATGTTTTTTAATTCATTCAAAATTGTAATATTTTGTGGTATACTCTTAATTGGAATTGTTATTAACGAAGCAGATATCCCATCATTCTTAGTAGAAAGCGACACCATTAAAGTTTATCAGCTACATATTGGTCAAGTTACGCTTGGATTATTTTTACTTAATAAGTTAAAACAATTCTAAATATTATATTAAAATTTAATTGTGTTTTATATAATTAACCATTGCAAATTCAACTGTATTCAATTATATTACCTACCTAAAAGTAAACTATTAATTTCAATTATAAATCCTATAAAATATTAAAACCTAATATTTTAACAAAATTTATTTTCTTTCAAACCATTGTTAGTTACGAATAATTAAAGTAACATTAGGTACCTAATCAGCTAACTTAGATATTATATAATATTTTTATTAAAATACAGTTCAAAAAGAAGAAAAAATAATGTATCTAGTTGGCTAGTTAATGTTAAAATTTGTTAACACAAAATTCTTTTTATTTTAAAAACATCAGACATTATTCCAAAGTAACAATGTAAATTGTAAGTATTCCATTAAATTGAAGGTGATCAAATCTTTTTTATTAGACAAGTACTAACCACAAAGCACATAACACTTAGCTTTATTTCAATATATAATCCTTGTCTTATATATTTTTTTTTTTTTGCTATCATTAGTATCTTTTTTTTAAAATTATTTTAGTAACCCAGAAACAATAACACAATACACATAAATTAAATCATATAGGTAAATACTTCAGTAAATAGCGAAAATGTACTGTTATTAATCAGAATTTTACAAAATATATCCTAAATGTCATTAAGTATATTTTAATATTAATTGTTGAACCTAACTAACCTAATAATATAAAGAATATAATATTATAATAAAATGTTTTTATATTTTAATAAGTTGTATGGAAATGTCTTTATTTCTCATAATGTGCATGCATTAATTCATTTATTTGATGATTATTACAATTTTGGCTCATTAATAAATTTGAAAACTATATGGAACAATATTTAAAAAGACCATATTGTTAAGGCGATAAACCATTTCAGCAAATTGAAAGGAGATTTTAAGAACGTTCTTGTCTTATCAACTCTCTCGCAGCCAACCTGCATAATCATGAATGTTAAACTTTGTTAAAGACATAAAATGAAAAATAATGGTCCATTAGTAAGTGACACTACATTTTCTCAATTTAACATTTTAGTTTTAGATTAAATAAAAATGAATGTCAATGCTGACTCATAATATGTAGGCTTACTTGTTAATTTATTTTTTTACATTACTGGAAGTTATCAATATTTGCTATGGTTATAATTTAAAAGAAAATATAATATTAGATATCTTCATAAAGTATAATCTTAACCACACAAAATTTAGATTTTACTGTTCTTCCAATAATTTATTTTAACAACTAAATTTAGTTAATTTCTATTTATTTGTTGTAATAAAATGATACTGTAAATTTAAATAAATCAAATATATTAACTGTAGCTTTATCAGTTAGGTAATTTTTGAAAAAAAAACTGTATTTTTGGTTGTAAGCAGTACATTTAAAATAACTTAATTTTAATTTAATATGTAACTTATGTGCCAATATGCCGTGTACTAGAGT